GCATACACGATGGCCGTTAGGAGAGCGATGGACATCAGCCTACACCGACAGGTGGCGGGGAGAGTCAATAGATGGAGGAGAAGGATGGGAAGGAGGATCGGAGGGAGACGAGGAAGAAGACACAGGAGACATGACAGACCAGGTAGAAAGAAGGGGAACCCCAGACAGAGGACCAGGATGGGTACCCTTCGGGACAGAACTCAAAGGAACAGAGGAGGTGGTAGTGGGTGTATCAGGGTCCAAGGCCCGGAAACGGTTGTGAGTCTGTGGAAGGTGGGAAGGACGAGGAGAGGAAGAGCGCAACACGCGAGCATAAGACACATTAGCATAAGGCGGGAGATGGCAAACCTGGCACCTCATCTCAGGAAAAGATAAACGCTCCCGGTGCTTCAAGTTGAGGACGGCTGCCTCAAGCTTGTAATGGATAAAGGCACGGGAGAGGTTGGAAGGGCCTCACCGCAGTTGAGGCAGCGAGCCTGGGGAGAAGTGCACTCTGACTTAGAGTGACCTTCGCCCCCACACAAAGGACAGTGAGAGACAGTCCCAGAGCAGCGGAGGGCACCATGCCCAAACCTCCAGCACTTGCTACAAAGCCGAGGAGAAGGAATATACTCCTGGACAGAGCACCTGGCACCAGCAAGAATGACAGAGGATGGAAGGGTCCTACCATCAAAGGTGATCTTCACAACACGAAGGGGTTGAGGGCGACGACCACGAGGGGGACGAGTAAACAAGTCTACCTGGAGGACAGAATGGCCTTAGGCATCAAGGGTATGCCGAATGTCATCCTGGCAGTCCTGCAGATTCCGAACACCAGTCGCAACATGGGGCGGGAGGAGAATAGTGCCAACACTGGCATTCAACTGAGCGTTGTTTGAGAACCGAACAGGGATCTCGCCAAGGCAGGATAAGGCAGCCAAGCGAGAAACTGCATCCTGAAAAGGAGCAGCAACGACACGTGTACCGAGACAAGTGGGGTTGAAGGTAACAGACGCATCCACGGAATCAACAAGATGCCGATGGATGGAGAAATCGTCAGGAGGCGCAAAATCAAGAGGGAGGAGATCAAAGTATTTGGCCCATGAAGCGGGACCAAACAAGGCCTGATACGCCTCAGTACGGGAAGGAATCGAGCGAGTGCGGTCGTGGCGTGGACGGCGTTGAGAACCCCCAGAGAGAGAGGGGTCAAAAGGAGCAGTAGTCACAACGAGAGACTTAGCCGCACCAGGGGACGAAGTGGTCACCACTGGGGGCTTGAGGCTCGACCCAACCACAGAGGAGGGAGGGGAGCTGGGGAAAGAAGTTTGGAGAGTCAAAAGAAGGCGCAAGGTTGGGGCTATAGAGCCCGGTCTTCCAATTCAGGCCGACTCGGGGGCTTGGTCGCCCACCCCACAAGCCCAAGAGGGTACAACAGAAACATTCAACGACATACAGACGAAGAGTGATAAATTCATCCATGAATGTGCCCCCAATACCCACCATGGAGCCACAATTAGAAGCAGGACACCCAACAGGAAGCTATCGCCGATCATGCCGGGGCCCCCTAGGAGTGCGTCGTGAGTATACGCCCCACAAACGCCACCTTAACAACCGTCAATCCATCGAGATCGAGCTCAGCAACGAAAGGGGGATTGACAATAAAAGGTTCCCCTCGCTCGAGACTTTGGGTACTACAGTTCTACGGGTGCAAGAGTATGCCTCCTCAAGCACCCAGGCGTCAAAATAGAAGAAGTCCAAGAGAATAACAAAAACAAGCAAAAGGTCGGCTGGAAACGACAAGCAGATAGGAGAAGAGGGGGGAGAAAAACGAAACAGAAGGAAAAGGAAAAGTCGTTCAGCATAATTAGAGAGGACAGCAGCAGGAGCACAAGGCCACAAAAGGACAGAGGACTGTCCAAGGAGCATCACACTCTGGCAGCCGCCCACTAAGCCCCCCTCACAGCATCAACGGGCTGAACAGGGAGGGGTTGGTCTTAAATGTGTAACTTATGTTATTTTGTGTTGGATTTCCATCATAATTCCGGTTGGGGGGGGGGGGGAGGAACACGGGTCGTAGTCCCGGTAAGGACTGCGAACACTTTATTCCTCTCCTTCAGAATTATAGTGCTGCTTTAATTTTAGTTTGCATCGTTGTGCAGCATTCCACTCGGGACGGACGTCCCTTACTGGCTCTTCGGGTGCTGGAAGTAATTGAACGTCTTCTTTTCCTGACAGTTCTAAAGGAACTAATTTCTCTAATGTTTTGAGAGTAGTTGTGCCACGGCATTTTACTGTCACTATTCTCAAGATGCCCTGGCTGTCTGGATGAACAGAGACTATTTGGCCTATAGGCCACTCTGAGCGTGGTCCATTGCTGTCTACCAGAACTGTCACCAGGGTTCAAGTTAATTCAAAATTCAAATCAAATTAAAATGTTTATTCAGGTAAAGTACATACATACGTACAAGGTGTGATACAAATATTGATAGATGTTTGAAACGTTGAACCAAATCAGTCTCTCGGACATATGAAGGATCCTCTGGTTCCTCATCCGTAAGGGACACAAGGTTACTGAGAGGTCTCCCATACATCAGATGAGCTGGACTTAATGGTTCATGCTGCAAAACATCATCAGAGAGGTAGGTAAGTGGTCGATTATTAACTCGTGCTTCTATCTCTATGGCTACGGTTTGGAGCTCCTGTAGGTCAACCTTTTGGCGGTGGAGGGTTTTCTGTAAAGAATGTTTCACTGTTCCAATCATGCGTTCATATAAGCCTCCGTACCATGGTGCTCTAGGAGGTATGAATTTTCAGTGGCACTGCCGTTGATTTAGGGCCGTGCGCACCTTTGGGTGTGTCCAGATTTTCCTCAGACATGCTTCTCCTCCCACTAAGTTAGACCCATTGCCTGAAATCATTAACTTAGGACAGGATCTACGTGAAGCAAACCTGCGGAAAACCTGTAAGAATGCTTCGGCACTCATATCGGGAGTCACTTCTAGATGGACTGCCCTTGTTGTGGCACAAGTGAAAAGAAAGATATATGCCTTTACTGGTTTTTTGTCCTTGGTGCCTGTTAGTGTTAGTGCTCCTGTGAAATCTACTCCTGTAGTCTCAAAGGGACGAATATGTACAACTCGTTCCTTTGGAAGTGGAGGAGGGCCTGGATATGGACACACTCTAGCATCATATCTCCAGCAAATAACACAGGATTTAATTATGGATTTTACAGTCTGCCTACCTTGGGGTAGCCAGTGTCTTAAGTCTGTGAGAGTATCTAATACCCCACCATGCACTGTTGTATTTATGTATGTGTAACACAATTAGTTTGCTGACTATGTGGTGACGAGGAAGCAATATATGATTTTTTGCTTCCAGATCTATGTCCCCATGCTGTAAGCGGTCTCCGCATCTGATTATGTTATAATTGTTGGTGTTTACCCAGAGACCCAGATCAGTTTGTAGCTTCTTAGGAACATTGTCAAGCTCTGTCCCGAATGTATCTGTCTGAGCTCTTTTGACCCAGTACCTTAGGGCATTAGGGAATTTATGCTTGATTCCTATTTTCCTTAGAAAATCAAACACCACTTGGTGGCACCTATTAGTTTGTTCAGTTCAGAGTACCGATTAGGATCAATTACCAAAGTCCGAGGTAGTTCTGGGTTCTCAGTGGGAACAGTGACATTGGTCACAATGACTTGTGTTTTTTTGTTTAGGCCACTGGGCGCTGACTAGCCACTGAGGTCCATTGAACCACATCTCTGCCTTTGTTAATTGCCGTAAGGTCAGGCCTCGGGAGAGATAGTCAGCTGGATTCACTTTGGTGGGTACATATCTCAGTTTGTACCCTGCCGACAACTCTCGTATTTCCTTAACACGGTTACTCACGTAAGGATTTTTACTATCATTGTTTTTGACCCTCTGTACCACTGCCTCATTATCTGACCATACCACTGTTTCTTCAAAATGGATGATACTTAAGGCCATGATCAGATAATGAGCCAATCTTGTTCCTAGCAGTAAGGCTGTTAATTCCAGTTGTGGCAATGATAATTTCTTTAAAGGTGCGACTCTGGCCTTTGTTGTGAACAAATTGACTTGCCCATTTGAATCCAGGTAAGCTACTGTGCCAAAAGCCTTTCCTGAGGCATCAGAGAATACATGTAGCTTAATTGGTTCCTTTTCATTAACTGTGTTCCGAGGGAACTTGACAGACTCTAGGATACCTAAATTACTAGCCCTTGCCATTTTTCTTCTAAGGTAGGTGTTAGAAGATCATCCCAGCCTATCTTTTGTTGCCAACATTCCTGCATTATCAATTTCCTATTAATAAGATTGGACTTAATAGTCCCAATGGTTAGAAGTGTTTCCTGACTTGTGAGAGTTGTTTTCTCATTGATCGGTTGGTGGTATTTGGCTCCACTGACTTGATTGTCAACTGATCTACTGTCGTATCCCATTCGACGCCTAGTACTTTTGTCTTCTTGGGTACCTGGTAGTCGGGAAAATCAGTTTCGATCAGTTGATTAATTTGGCGTTGTTGGAGACCCATGACTGGAGAGGCATATTTGCTCCCATTAATTCTCGATTGGCCTCGTGGTACATGTTCAGCAGTTTACTTCCACTGCTGGCTGTTCCTAGGAAATTGTCCACATACAAGTTATTGCTAATTTATGTTTTATTTGGGCTATTGGACTTCTTCATGTGCATGTCTAAAGTAGTTGGAAGCAGAAATGGAGAAGATGTGGCACCAAACAAAACAGACGCAAACCTGTAAGTGATTAATTCACAGTTTGGATCATTAAGAACATAAGAACATAAGAACAAAGAACAAAGGCAACTGCAGAAGGCCTGTTGTCCCATACGAGGCAGCTCCTATTTATAACCACCCAATATAAAACACAACAGAAAAGACTTTGCGCTGACAGAAAAAAGAAGGACTTGATAGTATGTTTGATATTATCAATAAAACACTAACGAGTTTTTATGTCCATTATTTGTTTAATTTAACCTTGATTTATTCATCGAGGTTTAGTTGATGAACTACCCATATGAACTACCATGTGAGTAGTCACATTCTTACGCCACTTGAATGTTTTCCCACACTCTGAACATTCGTAAAGTCTCTCGTTCGAATGCACCGGAATGTGATCTATTATTTCCCTGCGATTCCTAAATCTTCTCCCACCCTCATTACATTCGAAAGGCTTATCACTCGTCTTTGTAGATTGGCTGAATATTTTCCCACACTCTGGAACCTCTCGAGATGTAAGCCCTTTAAGCTCAGTCCTGCGAGTCTTCATGCGTCCAGCCCGACTGGATGTTTTCCCACAGACTATATGATCTGTATGCTCCTGAGATGTATGATCTGTATGCTCCTGAGATGTATGATCTGTATGCTCCTGAGATGTATGATCTGTATGCTCCTGAGATGTATGATCTGTATGCTCCTGAGATGTATGATCTGTATGCACAGTCAAGCGAGTCTTCATCCGTTCAGCCCGGCTGGATGTCTTCCCAGGCACTGGACGCCCGTGAATCCTCATCCTGTGAGTTTTCATATTTCCAAGTTGAGTAAAAGCTTTCCCACATTCTGGACACTCATGAGGTTTAATACCTGCATGCAGCAGTCTGTGACCCTTCATATTTCCATACTGTATTATTTCCTTCATATTAGGATCCTTGATTCATAGGAACTTTGTGCAGTTACGGTCTTCTTCTTGGAGACCGACCCTAAGGAAGGCTTTACTGATGTTTGTTGTGTATGCATAAGTCCCGATGAGGAACTTTAACAGCACATTGTATAGCCTTTGTGTCAGGCTAGGGCCAGTTTGAAGGCAGTCATTTAAGGAAACATTACTCTGTTTTGTCTTAGCACTTCAATTATATACTATCTGTTATGGGGTAGTAGCTGAATTTTTCAGTACAGGGTGGTGTGGCAGGTAGTGTCCTTCCTTTGGGTTATCATTTGTGACAACTTCGCTAAATTTGTCATCGAGTTGCTTCTTGATTATTTCATGGTACAATTTCAAGTTCCCAGGATGTCTTTGTAAGCACAACACCTGTGATCTTAATTGGTTTTGTGCCATTAAATGGTTGACGGGTAGCTGAGGGTGACTCAGCTTCCATGGTAACCTGACCCAGTATTGATTATCTCTGTAGATAACTGAGTCCAGGTATTGTTTGTAAGCTCAGTCGTCATCTGGACTAGGTTGTTCAGGGACAATGCCGAGAGTTGCCAGGTCCCATAATTTATGTACAGGGGGATCAAGCTTATAGTCGGACATGTCTCTGGATTATAGTGGAGACTGTTTTCCTAGTCATGCTACCATTACTGGGTTGGCATGTTGGTGGTCTACAGGTGTGGGTTGCTTCAGCCGTAATAATGGGCCTGTTAGCAAGTAGCCACCTGGAGATGGCAACAGGTTCATTCCCAGTTGTTCAGCCTTTCTTTTGATAAACTTATGGTAGACATCTGATCCCATAAGGATTCCAATATTGGAGAGGTTGTCTGATGTGATTTTGTCAGCCAATTTGATTCCCTTTTCTTCCAGGAATTTGGCTGTTGTCCCTAGACCATACACATACAGGTCTGATGGGAATCTATCTACTACAAGAGCTTGTATCGTTCGGACATAACTGCCTAAACGTACTTAAGGTTGTACTACCTTGAAGACTTGGGCTCCTGAATTAATCAGGAATCCTGCTATGTCTATTTGTGTCTCTCATACAGATATGAGTTTCAAGGCATCTACCAACTCCTTTGAGATAAAAGTCATTTGGGATCTTTGGTCAAATAATCCACGTATGGTTACCTTGGGCTTTCCATTTTAAATGATCAATTGAACAGTGGGTAGAACTGATTTATGATCAGACCTTGTTGACAAGACACTTATGACAGGTAGTATGGTACAAAGCTGTACTGAAGTGGAAGTTTCTTCCATCTCCTGTGGTTTGGGAGACTTTGTACTTGAGTCCCCAAAAGTGCTGTATAGTGTTGACCCTAATGGCATCTATTAAAGGTGTGTATTTGAGTTGCACAGTTGTCGGGATTATGTGACCTTATACACCTGGTGCATTTACGTAACTCCTTGAGTCGCTTTTTGTATGTGTAGCATGATCAGGGTAAGCTTTGCAGTTATATATGGTATGTTGTTCTTCACAGAACACACATGGCCTCCAGACGTTAACAACATCTTGGGGAGTCACCGTTTTGGGTGACACATTAACTGTAGGTCTGGAGGAACACACTGCATATGTGCCCCACACTGCCTTGTTTCCACTTTGGGGAGGGGGAAGCTGTTTTAGATTTATTTGGAGTACTGTTTGTACTCTGTTGTTTACTATTAGTGGTTAAAGAAGGTTTAGATGTTGATTTTCCATCTGTGTTATCTCGTTGGCTTTCTATGATGGTTCTTAAACCTTCTGTTATCTCCCTTACTGTTAGAGAAGATTTGTTATATAAGACAAACAACTTATCCAGTACATCACTTGGTAATTTGCGTCTCATATGGACTTGGATTATCCAGTCCGATTCATCCAGATTCAATTTATTCTTAAACACCTTGAGTAAGGACTCACGCTCCAAGCTAAAGGTTTGGAGTGAGTCAGCTGATCCATCTGGAGGGAAAATATCTAACAGTTTCTGCATTAGAAGTCGGATAGTCCTTTATGGCTTAGGATAATTATCCTTAAGGAGCTGTACTGCGCAAGCATAACCATCAGTGTTTGCAGCCTTAACGGAAACTCACACAAAGGACTACCATGATGGGGAAATATGGATCTCAGAGTACAATCTTTTCAGATGTGATAGGAAATACCGGCTTCAGGGTGGGGTCAGCCTCTACATCAAAGACACACTCATCTGTACTGAGCTGCTAAACATCTCAAATGATATGGTGGAAGTGCTGATAGTCAAAATAGAGATCTTAAATGTAGTTGTTGTCCTTGTATATAAGTCACCAGAGGCAAACCCTCAGCAGTTTAAAGACCAACTAATGAAAATAGAGCACTGCTTGGAAAACCTCGCAAATCCAGCTCCGAACATCATCCTTCTTGGGGACTTCAACCTACGGCACCTGAAATGGAAGCACCTGGCTAATACAGTAATATCAGAAAGAATACCAGGAAGTAGCCTAAATGAACAGGCACATGCAAATGACCTGCAACGGATGTGCGACAGGTTTGCCTTAAACCAGCAAATAGTAGAACCGACTAGGAAGGAGAACACGCTGGACCTCATTTTCACTAATAATGATGAATTGATCAGAAACATAATGATTACAAATACCTGTTACTCAGATCACAACTTAATTGAAGTTCTGACAACCATGGGGAATGGACCTTCAAAACCAGTCCAGATTCCCGGTGGAGGAGATTTCAGCAAATTCAACTTCAATAATAAACAGATAAACTGGGAGCAAATAAACCAGGACTTCACAGAAATAAACTGGGAAGAACAGCTAGGAAATGCAAACCTGAACCAGTGCTTGGAAAAAATAAGCTCAGTAGCACTAGAAATATGTTCAAACCGCATACCCCTAAGAAAAAAGAGAAAGAGATGCAGATTGGAACGGGAACGTCGTTCCCTATATAGGCGAAGAAAACGAATTGTGGAACAACTTGAGAGTCGCACCCTATCTCAAGAACGGCGAAGAAGGTTAGGTACAGAAATAGAAACAATTGAACTCAAGCTACAAGAATCATACAAAACCCAGGAGAGGCAAAGAGAGCAAAAGGCCATCAGTGAAATAGAGAGAAATCCGAAATATTTTTTCTCCTATGCAAAATCAAGATCAAAAACCACATCTAGTATCGGGCCCCTGCGAAAGGGAGATGGAACTTTCACCGATGACAACAAAGAAATGAGCGAGTTACTGAGGAAGCAGTACGACTCTGTTTTCAGCGAGCCATTAAATGCACTAAAGATTGATAACCCAAATGAATTTTTCATGGATATTATACCAACATCAAATCATATATCAGACGTCGCCCTATCCCCACTAGATTTTGAAGAAGCCATAAACAGTATGCCTATGCACTCTGCACCAGGCCCGGATTCTTGGAACTCCATATCATCAAGAACTGTAAAAAACCACTATCGCAGGTCCTTCACATTCTGTGGAGACAAAGCCTAGATACTGGCGTTATCCCTGACATACTAAAAACAGCAGAGATAGCACCACTCCATAAAGGAGGAAATAAGGCAGAGGCAAAAAATTACAGACCGATAGCACTAACATCGCACATCATAAAAAATTTTGAGAGAGTGCTAAGAAGTAATATCACAAAATACATGGAATCACAGCATCTCCATAACCCCGGACAACATGGTTTCAGAACAGGGCGCTCTTGCCTGTCGCAGTTGCTGGACCACTATGATATGGCATTAGATGCTATGGAAGACAAACAAAATGCTGATGTAATTTACACAGATTTCGCAAAAGCCTTTGATAAATGTGACCATGGTGTTATTGCACATAAAATGCGTTCAAAAGGAATTACTAGGAAAATAGGCAAATGGATCTACAATTTCCTGACTAACAGAACCCAATGTGTAATAGTCAACAAAATAAAATCCAGCCCATCAACCGTGAAGAGCTCAGTCCCCCAGGGTACTGTGCTTGCTCCAGTACTTTTTTCTCATCCTCATATCGGACATAGACCAGAACACAACCTATAGTACTGTATCATCCTTTGCAGATGACACTAGGATTTTCATGAGAGTTGGCAACATAGAGGACACGGCAAACCTCCAATCAGATGTAGATCAGGTCTTTCTATGGGCTACAGAAAATAATATGGTGTTTAACGAGGATAAGTTCCAGCTCATGCGCTATGGAAAAATTGAAAATATAAAAACAGAAACCACGTACAAAACTCAGGCAAATCATAACATAGAACGAAAAGGCAATGTAAAGGATCTGGGTGTACTCATGTCGGAAGACCTTACCTTTATAGAACACAATAAAGTAGCCGTCACAACTGCAAGAAAAATGACAGGTTGGATAACAAGAACCTTTCACACTAGAGATGCTATACCGATGATGATACTTTTCAAAACGCTTGTGCTCTCTAGAGTGGAGTACTGCTGCACAATGACAGCCCTTTCAAAGCTGGAGAAATTGCTGACCTGGAGAGCAATTCAATCAGTAAAACATCTAAATTACTGGGACCGACTAAAGAGCCTAAATCTGTACTCCCTTGAGCGCAGGCGGGAGAGATACATAATAATTTACACGTGGAAAATAATTGAGGGGCTGGTCCCAAACCTGTACACAGAAATAACATCACATGAGACCAGAAGACATGGCAGGATGTGCAGAATACCCCCGTTGAAAAACAGAGGTGCAACAGGTACTCTGAGAGAGAACTATCAACATCAGAGGCCCGAGACTGTTCAACACGCTTCCACTACACATAAGGGGCATAACTGGCCGACCCCTCACAGTGTTCAAGAGAGAACTGGATAAGCACCTCCAAAGGATACCTGATCAACCAGGCTGTGACTCATACGTCAGGCTGCGAGCAGCCGCGTCCAACAGCCTGGTTGATCAGTCCAGCAACCAAGAGGCCTGGTCGACGACCGGGCCGCAGGGACACTAAGCCCCGGAAGCACCTCAAGGTAACCAAGGTATCATCAGTGAAGGTCAAATTACAGACCACCTTTAAC